TACAGTTGTAGTGTTATGTTTCAGGTACTTCAGGAGATCGTGGCAAGGCGAAGGCGTGATCGTACCGCTGCTCATGTTTTACGATTTTTATGATATGGTTATGGGGGATACTCTGATAATAAACTATTTTGAAAACGAGATGTATGAAGTTAATGGTTTTTGAATGAATGAAAATGTTTTAATTTGACTCAATTTCTATGGGTGTTACAGATTTCAGCGACTTCGGCTGCAAGAACATCATCTCCGACAAACCACTGCCGGCGACTCCGGTGGCGACCCTAGCGTCGACCAATAATTAGCGACTTCGCCGGCAATATCATTCCAGGTCTGTTTCAAATTATAACTTCGATTTTTAGGCTGTAATTGCTTCAATCACGTGTTTGTTAGGCTGTAATTGCTTCGATTGTTAGTTTAGATTCATTTGAAATTCGATTTTAGGCTGTAATTGCTTCAATCACGTGTTTGTTAGGCTGTAATTGCTTCGATTTTTAGTTTTGATTCGTTTGAAATTCGATTTTTGATTTCTATATTTGTGAAATCGATTTCTGTTTGATTCGATTTTGTGAAATTTGATTTTTAGACGGTAATTGATTAAGTATGTTTAATCGCAGGTTTTTTTGTTTGATAGGATGTTGTTTGATTTCTGATTTCAATATGTTTAATCACACTTGTCGAATTCTGTTTTTTTTTCGATTTTATGTATTTCATTGTAGACATTGTTTAGAATGAGGATTTCCACTCAATCTCTCAAGTTGTTGTTGCAAGCAATGCAATAGCAATTGATAATGAAGTTGGTGCAAATGATGTGTTAGAAGAAGATGAAATTGGAGAAGAAGATGGAATTAGAGAAGAAGATGATGAAGAATCTTTTGAAGTTCCTTCAACTTTTATTACTATGGAGGAAAAAAATATGACTACTGGTAGCAATTGGATTGTGTCACAATTAGCGAGCAAGAATGATTTTACACAAGAGTTGGGAAAAGATTCTTTCAAGGATAAAGAAGAACTTAATAGAGCTATCAAGCTTTATAGTATTAGGACACATAAACAGTTTGAGGTTGTTGAGACACGTCCAACTCTATGGACCATAAGATGCAAGTTACATTTACAATCCGGTTGCAAATAACACGTTCGTGCAATCAAACGAAAACGAAGTGGATATTTTGAAATTACAAAGTATACCGGTCCACATACTTGTTTACATGATAATATTTCTTAAGACCATCCAAATCTAGATGGAAGCTTGATAGCCCAGGAAACCAAATATCTTATTAAAGAGCAACCTTCAATTAGTATTCCAACTGTGAGAGCCGAAATAGTCGATAAATTAGGTTATATTCCTTCATACAAAAAGGTTTGGACCGGAAAACAGTGTTTTTAAAAATGACAGATTATGTGATGAAAATAAAATAAAATAAAACATTGGTTTCTAATAATCTCAAATATCCTTTGTCATTTTTTGTTATATATCAATACAAAAGTTTTAAGGATACTAACAATTGACTATTTGTTGGAAAAAAACTATTCATCATCTTTCAAAAACAACTATTAACATACGGGAAATTAAATATCCTCCTACTTTTCTTCCTAATTATCTTCCTACCCATTTAAAATTATGACAAGTATCCTAAAATATCATTAGTTTTATCTAAATATGACACTTGTCACCATTTCATGTAGGTAGGAAGATAAGTAGGAAGAAAATGTAGGAGGATATTTAATTTCTCTTAACATAAAGTAAAACTATTTGCTTTAAATAAAACTATTCATCACACAATCCCCACAAAGTAAACTTAAATATATGTTGATGCATTTCATGTTTTTAAGTATATACCTCAAATGTGGCGTATAAAGATTTGTTGTGTGATTAACTTTTATTGATAATTGTGTACATGTAGTAATCTAAGAACTAATTTCTGAAAAAACTATCCACACCCGTCGCTTGATGCGGGTAAACGACTATATATATATATATATATATATATATATATATATATATATTCTAATAAATGAAACCTAAAAATGTCACGTGTCACTTTTTCAGAATGTCTTTTTAAAAAGTGGTATTTTTCTCTGATTTTTATTATTTTTTTTTGTAACAAATCAAATTCAATTCAAATTTTGAAAATACAAAATCATATCCTAATAACATTATTAT